ATCTTGAAGGTGCCCGGAGCCATTTAGGTAACCACTGAAGGAAGTCATATCCTTAGAAAGTAAGTAATTGGGTTCGGAGTCGATTCCTACGATTCCTAGCCTTCAACAATCGGGAACCGTGCTGCCCAGCACTACTGGAAGCCTAGCCTTTAGCTCTTAGCCCACACATTGCCTGAGACTACATTCACTCTCATAAATTTGTATGTTATGTCTTGCTTTCCCATACTTATATTTAGATACAGTTAATTTTTCGATTGCAAAAGCTGCATTTGTTAACCCCCTTTTTTTTTAAAGTTTTAGTTATAAAGGAGGTTTTTGGGCGCTCGCAACTGCATAGGGTCAAATGAGCGCCAGAAAATTAGAGATGTTACAAGAGAGTAACAAACATAAAAAAGAAGAAAGGGAGAAAAGGACGATAGATGTTTGATAGGAAAGAAGAAGCAAACCACACCAGAGCACCCACCAACCACCCGCTCAATAAAAAATTTAAATTTTATAAAACCCACACGCATTAATAACAACAACAATAAAATCTTACAGACAATTATTATTGTTATATATATATATAATCATACAGACATGCGTTCAGGCTTCAACAATGCGACGAAGTACTCGAGATAGCTTGGAGATTTTAGCATCGATAACTACATGGAGGGTGGGAGAGGTGGGAGGGGGGGGTGTTTTAGTTTTAGTAAGAGTTTTACGGCACATGCAGCACAATACGGTCATATAAGTGCAGAAGATTAGAAGTGTTACAAGAGAGTAACAAACACAAAAAAGAAGGAGGAGAGATAAGGATGGTAGATGTTTGATAGGAAAGAAGGAGCAAATCACACCAGAGCACCCGCCAGCCACTCACTTTTTTCTTTACAAAAGTCTTTAAGTTTTGTGGCTACTAAAAGAGCACACTAGCACACTCTCGGTATCTCATGCCGCCCCCTTCCCCCAAATATAAAAACCAACCCTTCAATAAATATTTCTTTATGGTCAAATACTTGGGTACCTGGAATATTAACAACATCAACGACAACAAAATGTGGTTTCAAAGGCGATTTTTTTTTGATTGGGGGGTGGGGGAGAGGGGGAGGGGGTTGTTTGGGTCTTTTGTTTGTCTTTATTTTTGCTATTTTTTCTGTTTTTGCACACAGATACATTCAAAACATTAAAGAGAAAAACACTCTCGCAATAAATAAAAAAAGTTTAGTTTTAGTAAGAGTTTCACGGCAATTGCGACACAATACGGTCATGTAAGTGCCGATGATTAGAAGAGTTACAAGAGAGTAACAAACACAAAAAAAGAACGAGGAGAGATAAGGACGATAGATTTTCGATACGAAAGAAGGAGCAGACCAAACCGGAGCACCCGCCAACCACCCACAAAAAACGCTAAAAGAAACAAACAACCCTATCTCCCCACCCTGTGCCCACAAATACAAACGC